TCTGCATTGATTGTGACTTTGGAGAAAGATGATGTTCTGTTTCAGAGAGGAAGCCACCTGCATGAGACAGGAACTTCCCAGTGTGGGACACAAACAATGGGATGGGATGGGGTTGGATGGGATGGGATGGGATGGGATGGGATGGGATGGGATGGGATGGGATGGGATGGGATGGGATGGGATGAGCTCCAAGGTCCTTTCCCCCCCAGACCGTTCCTTGATCCTGTGATTCCGCGGTTCCAGGAGCTCCTGGAGCTGGAGCAGAACCTCCTTGGGAGAGCAGATTCCACCTCCCAGACCCATCCCAGGGGTGCTCTGCAGAGCGGAGCTTCCAACCGAAGGGAAGGAATTCCCGGTTCTTTGGGCCCCGGGTGTCTCCAGGGCCTCACCCCGCGGGGGCTGCAGGAGAGCGGGACGGGCCGGGAGCGCGGACCGGGCCGGTACTGGGGACGGCTCTGGGCCGGGGGTGGGACCAGAGGAGGTACCGGGGATGGGTCCTGGACCAGAGGCGGTACCGGAGGCGGTACCGGGAGATCCGGTACCAGAGACGGTACCAGGGGATCCGGTACCAGAGACGGTAGCAGGGGATGCGGTACCGGAGGCGGTACCGGAGGCGGTACCAGAGGCGGTACCGGAGGCGGTACCAGGGGATGCGGTACCAGAGGCGGTACCGGAGGCGGTACCAGGGGATGCGGCACCGGACGCGGTACCGGAGGCGGTACCGGAGGCGGTACCAGGGGATGCGGTACCGGAGGCGGTACCAGGGGATGCGGTACCGGAGGCGGTACCGGAGGCGGTACCGGAGGCGGTACCGGAGGCGGTACCAGGGGATGCGGTACCAGAGGCGGTACCGGAGGCGGGACCAGGGGGTGCGGCACCGGACGCGGTACCGGAGGCGGTACCGGAGGCGGTACCAGGGGATGCGGTACCGGAGGCGGTACCGGGGGTCCCGGACCGGGGCAGCCCCTCCCTCCCGCAGGGCGCTGCCGCCGCCCGGTGGCCAAAGGCCGGTACTGCACCCCGGGCTCTGCGCATGCGCAGTGGCGCCGCCGCTGCTCTCCGGTACCGGCCCCGCGGGGCTGGGGGGCCCCGGGAGCTCATCCTGCACCCCCAAAAGGGACAGCATCACCCCCAGACCCCTCATCCTGCACCCCCAAAAGGAACAGCATCACCCCCAGACCCCTCATCCTGCACCCCCAAAAGGGA